GGGGGGGCGCCGGCCTGGGGCTGCTGCAGTGGCAGCCAAGAGCCAGGTGGGGGCAGAAGAGAGCTTCTCTTATACCATACTAGAGGCCCTTCCAGAGCAGGGAGAGAAGGAGGGAAGGAAGGAGGTCTGGGGGGCGCTTTCCACCTGGGCCGGCTAGGGGGGGCTGGGGCCTCGTACCAGGGCCTGTGCAGGAGATCTGGCGGCCTCTGCACATTCTGTTGAGCTAAAGGGAAGTGGACCGGTCAGGGCAGCAAGGCTCCCACGGTGGGAAGAATGCCCTTCTTTTACTGAACCCCCCCCCCCAACACGCTGCCGTGACAAAAGTTTCAGAAACAAAGTTGTGAGTTTCCATTTTTGAAACATCCAATTCCTTCCAAAATCAGTTCAGGGTAGGGGGGCTCTCCGGGGCCTTGGTGATACAAGTGGGAACCAGACGATCTCTAAGATTCTCGTCGGGAGGCGGCCAAGCCCAGAAGACCGAACCCCAGAGCACAGGGGCACTTTTGGGAAAGTCACACAGCCTCTGCTCTGCTGGGGTGTGTGTGTGTGTGTGTGTGTGTGTGGTCTCTGTGGCCCCTGTGCCCTGAGGGCAGGTTGGCCCATTACCCTGCCCACTCCGAAGAACAGAGATGAGAAAGACAGGGGGAATTTGGGACCAGAGGAGGCATTCCCCTCTACACACACACACACACACACACACACACACCCCGCATGCGCACCAGGAGGCCCACCTCACTCTAGGGGCTGAGCCCCAGCACATGACAGGATGAAATTTAGGCTGTTGCTCTTTCTTTCTTTCCTTTCCCCTTTTTTTTTTTTTTTTTTTGTTATTACAAATAATGTTGGCATTTGGCATTTTTCAACCGCTTATGAAAATATTTCTGTATCATAATAGTCCTAACCGGATGAAAGGGAAAGAGTATCTTTAAAAATATTTTAATTATTTATTTGAAAGAGAGAGAGCACGAGAGAGAGCAGGAGCAGGGAGGAGGGGCAGAGGGAGAGGAGCAAAGGGAGAGGGAGAAGCAGACTCCCTAACAAGCAGGGACCCCAATCCCAGGACCCCGTGATCATGACCTGAGCCCAAGGCAGGCGCTTAACTGACTGAGCCACCCAGGCACCCGGGAGGGAGTATTTGAACTGACAGATGTTCTCCCAAAGGTGACGGCAAATTACACTCCTGTTAAGAGTATCCCATAGTCTTGCCAGTTAGAAGCACATAAAGAATTCCTGGGTGGCTCAGTCTGTTAAGGGTCTGCCTTCAGCTCAGGTCTAGATCTCAGCATCCTGGGATCGAGCCCCGAGTTAGGCTCCCTGTGGGGTGTCTGCTTCTCCCTCTGCCTGCTGCTCTCCCTGCCTGTGCTCCCTCTTTCTCTGGCAAATAAGTATTTTTTTAAAAAATAGAGGCATATAAGATGCTACACATCTTCCAGAAGAAACAGAGGTTACTATTGTTTTAATTTCTTTGACCATCAGTGAACTGGAAGATCTTTTCATGATTTATGAACTATTTTCACCTCATCAATCATTTAAACTTGTTAAACATTGTGACTTTCACCATACAGACGTCTTTCATTTTTATTAGTAGCTCCGTCAGCCTTTTCCCTTATACTTCTGGATTTCATATCATGCTCAGATTTTGCAAGAAAATATCAAACTGCAGAAAAGCATGGGTAGAATTACCTCATTTTTAGCCAAAAAAAAAAAAAAAAAAAAAAGCAAGTATACGCATATTCAGGTATAGATACTTAAATGACGACACAGACCGATCTGGAATGATGAATTTTAAGTCAGTGGTTCTCAAATTGAGCACTAGAGTCATCTGGAAGGCTTATAATAATACGGATGGCAGCCCCATTCCCAGTGTTTCTCATTCAGCAGGTCTGGGCTGGGGCCCAAGAATTTGTATTTCTAACAAGCTCCCAGTCAAACTGCTGCTCGAATCTTCTCATCTAGTAAAAGCAGTTCCCTTGAGAAGTGGGTTTGAAGTTTTTTTTTTTTTTTAAACATTAAGATCTTTAAAGATGTGCACGTGAAAGCACAAAGAAGCACAGAGTGTTGGACAAATGCAGGAGGCTATCACCAGGCACTCTGTAAGGGACGTGTGGGAAGATTCACGCCTGCTTGCCATGCAGGATGGGGACTGGGGTGAGGGCTCGAGTCACCCCATTGGAATTTGACCTAGAAATGCATTGCTCTCAAAAGCTGCACAAGCAATAATTTAGGGGCAGACGAGGGACTTGTGCCCAGCAAGGATGTGGGGAAGAGGAGGGCAGGGGGAGTAGGACAGATCTCCAGGGACAGCCCAGGTGAGGGACCATGTGTAGGAGTCTTAGAGTCAGACAGATGTGGGTTCGAATCCCGGCTGGGGCATCCCACCTAGTCTCTGGGCCTCAACTTCCTCATCTGTAAAATGGGGATGTCGAGATACCTAGTACTTTGCCTGGTACGTGAGTGTGCTCAGTAGGAGGAACACTGGGACCTCTTGCCCCCGGTGGCCACGTGAGAAGTCGGAAGGGTCCAGCCCACCTGGCCTACTTTTATTCAGGGGCATCGCGGCAGCCCGGGTTCTGGACAAGCCCACGAGAGAAGACTCTAGGTTGCTCTGGCCATGGGCTGTGTGGGGCTCCCACCCAGGAAGGTTTCAGGTTCTTGAGGTTTTCAGCAAGCAAAGGGAGAGCTCGACATACCCCAAAGGAGATGTAGGCGCCCAGCAGGCTGCCGGCAATGGTGGCATAGCCTCCGGTCATGACCGCGTGGATCTCAGAGAGGGTCATGTCGGCCAGATAGGGCCGGATCAGCAGAGGAGCCTCGGTCTGCAAACAGGAGAGATGTCAGACAGCCAGAGCTGGCCAGGCCAGTGTGGACCCCAGGATGTCTCCTCCCTCTGCCTCCCGGGAGTGGGGACATCATAGTGGGTCCTGGGGACCCCAGCGGCAGAGATGGGGTTGGGGCCATAGTTTGTGCTTGGCTGGGCCTCCCTGGACCTCTGCATTGGCCTTGCACTCTGGAGGGACCCCCAGCCCTTCCTCTTGGCCTGGTTTTCTCCCTTGGGTCAAGTGCCCACTAGGTCCTGGCATCCCACAAGCACCTTACATGTGTCACTCATGACCTTCTGAGAAAGAAGTGGTCATCCCCCTTTCCCAGGAGAGCACACAGAGAATCAGAGAGATTCAGAGAATTACCTCTGTTCATGCAAGGGGCCAGAAGCAGATGGACCTCCAGGCCTCAGCTTTTAATGAAGCCATGGGGTTTGCCAGAAAGAAAGGAGATGGGCATTTGGTGGTGTTTACCGCAGGGCATCTGGGGAAGCCTGGAGTCATTCATGTAGTCACTTAATAAACACTTACTGAGCACCTCCTATGTTCCAGACTGTTCTATAGAATAGGGATGGGGATTAAACAAGATAGAGCCCTGACTGCACAGAGCTTTTATCCTGGGAGTAGTGAAGGAGGGTGGGTTATGGGAAGAAATGGACAACCAACAAGGAAACTAGAAGATAAACAGTGTTTCATAGACGATGCTAAAAGCTACAGAGATATGTGCGGACAAATGCCTAGTGGCTGCAGGGTATTTAGAATTGAGTAACAAGCAAAGGCCATCCCAAGGAGGTGACATCGGAGCTGAGACCACAGGTGCCATCGGCTGGGTTTGGTAGCACAGCATTGCAGGTGGAGTGAACAGCCAGGGCCCTGGGGCAGGAAGGGGGGCAGGGCAGGGGAGCAAGCCAGGGTTGCATGATCTGGCTCGTGTTTTTAAAAGGGTCGCTCTATCATGTGCGTGAAGGACAGAGGGTAGCGGCAGGAATGGAAACAGGGAGAGTAGGAGGGATTCTTTGTCTAGTGGGGGAGACGAGGGCAGCCAGTGGTGAAGGAAAGAGGCAGGCAGGGCAGGGCTGGGACAGGGTCTGGGGGCGAGCTGGCAGGATTTGTCAATGGGCCAGAGGCTTCTGGGAGCGTGGGAAGCCAAGGAAGGAAGGAAGACTCCTTGAGTTTTGTCTGAACAACTTCATGGAAGATGCTGGTACCCTTTCCTGAGAAGGGAAAGGCTTGGAAGCGTGCAGCTGTGTTGAGGAGGGAATCAGGGTTCTGCCTACTTGGACTTAGTGTGGTGAATTTGAGATGCCCTTTAGGTATCTAAGTGGAAGGTCAAGGGGCAGTTGGGTGGGTCAGACTGGAGCTGGGGTCTGGGTGACATTGAAGTAGTTAAACCACAGGGCTTATAGGACAGAGTGTGCCCAGAGAAGATGGCACAGGCTGCCAACATGGGGGCTGAGATGATGCTGTTGACCGTCAGAGGCTCCCCATTCCCTTGGGGGAATCAAGGGGTCTAGGTCAATGTGGCCGCCAACTGGTCGACAGTCAGTTCACTTGGGGAGCTCTTCACACCGCCCAAAACCCATTCACCTGAAAACTTGTATTTTGTCAGCAAAAACCATGGAGCACATTTGCCACATTTCATTTAAATAAATGCTTTTGTGTTTCCGTATTTCTTTCACTTTTGCTTCATTTTAAACATTTTAAGGGATTTGAGATAGGAGCACATCTGTCCTTACAGGGTTTTAAAAAAAACCTTTGAAATCAACACACTGGTACTACAGCCAAAAGACGCAAACATGGCATTCTGTGGCAAGTATGTCTTTTGGTGACTCCAAAGTTGGTCCAATGGACTGGGTCCCTGGAACGGCCTCTAGGCCCTCAAGAGGGCCGGGCCTTCTGAAAGGGGCTCAGGACTGACAGGTGCTTTCAGAGTCACACTTACTTTGGAAAATGCATTTTAGAAAGAAAGGGGAGAAAAGAAGACAAAATGATGTCATGTAAGGAACGCTGCCCAGGAAGGGCGCAGCTGAGTTCTAAGTCCTGACTTACATTGTGGGGTCCTGGCAAGCTGTTCCCACCCTCAAGCCTGTTTCTGCTGGAAGGGAGGAAGGTGGATGCCACCTGTAGGATTTGTGAGTCTCTGAGCTGATGAAGACCTCCGAGGCATAGAGTGGTAGAAGGTGCCAGATAGAGGCCATCCTCCCTGGCGCGACCCAGGCAAAGAGTGCCTCCCCAGACGGAGCATCCCCAGGGAAGTGGCCTTTGGTGACCTTGGGAGAAGGTCTGAGAGCCTCTTCCACTGACTGAATCTAGCTCCGGGGACCCAGGGCACCCACCCTCCCTGGGGATGCTGACCAAGAGGGCAGGGGGCTGCAGTACCCACCTGGCTCACAAAGATGTTTCCAGCCACACTCAGGGTCTCCGTGGCCGTGGTACCCATGGTGGCCTGCATCAGCCAGCTGATCTAGGAGGCAGAGCACTCTTTGTGGGCGGGCGGGCATCCGCAGACCCCAGAGTTGGAGAGAGTCAGGCGTGAGGTGGACACACCTAATAAGTCTTCCTTCCGACTTCCAGCCCAGCGTAGGAAACCCTCACATCCGTTTCTCCCTCCACACCTCCACTCATGAGGGCTTACCATTTCCCAAGCCCCCCCCCCCCAATTCACCTTAGGATAGCTCTAATCACTACAGTAGCACTTCTAAAATGCATGTTCTCTGTCTCTATACAAAAGCATTCCCTGGCCCAATGTACTTGAGAATTGCTGTACTTGCACATCTTGGAGGTTATCAAATACATACCAAGTTAGTAAAGGCTCTGAGAAGTCCTGCACAAAAACTTGTTCAAATTTGTCTACCCCAGCCTCACAGAAGTATTTGACCGTGGGATCCCTTTACCTAGTAACATGTGTTAACCCACTATGGAGCTGGAGTTTTGTGAAAAAGCCTTTGGGAAACATTGTATTAGAAAGTTCTCCCTTTTGGGGCACCTGGTTGGCTCAATGGGTTAAAGCCTCTGCCTTCAGCTCAGGTCATGATCTCAGGGTCCTGGGATGGAGCCCCCATCGGGCTCCCTGCTCGGCAGGGAGCCTGCTTCCTCCTCTCTCTGCCTGCCTCTCTGCCTACTTGTGATCTTTGTCTGTCAAATAAATAAATAAAATCTTAAAAAAAAAGAATGTTCTCCCTTTCAATCAAGATGAAGTCTGCTTCCCTGGAATCTCTCCCCACTGCAGGAACCTCCCTGGCTTCCCTTGCTCTAACCTTTCTTCTCTAGGTATTTGGAGACAGCTCTCCTACCCTCACCTCCTCCTGCCCTATGCTTCTCTTCTCCAGCCCAGCAGGGCTCACCAGCCCTACTTCCTACCACCATCCTGTAGAGGGCATGGCATCAGGCCCCATCACTGGCCCCTGAGGCTTCAGTTGTCATAGCCCCTTGGCTGAACACATGCTCTAGATTTGGAGAGACCTGCCTCCCTCCTGCCCCGAGCTGGACACTTTTACCATAATGCAGGTGGGTTTTGCCTTTCTGGCAGTCCCCTGCTGTGACTGACTTATCCTGAGCTCAATCGGCTAAAACCTCAGACCTGCCCTCATCACCAGGTCCAACTCCTGCCCAGTACCACCTCCTGCATCCTGGTTCCGTGCTGCACATTTTATGAACATAAGCACAGGCTTTGACTGTTACACCAGCTAAGTCTGGCCCACATGGCCCACTGCTCCCATCTCTTAAGGTCTTTTCAGTACGAATGATTTCTTTTCCTGACCCTTCTTCTCAAAGCGGCCTCAATTCTGCAAACTTTCCTCACACAAAGATCACATTGGATTTGGTGCCATTTCTCCTTAGGATCATGACAGGAGACTCTGCGGAAGATGTCTGGCTAACAGTAGACTCTGAGTGGGAGGGTGTAGACGCTGGGAGCAGGATTCTGGGAGGGTGTGGACCCCGATTCTGGGAAGGTTCAAGCTCTCCGAGCTTGGGAAGTGAGCAACAGTTTGGGCTCTGGGTGCAAGCCCTTCTGGGAGAGCATGAGCCCCATGGGTAGGTGGTCCTGGGACAGCCCAGGCCGTGGCACTGGGAACTCACCTTCTGGATCACCCACTGCATGAGGCCCATGTGGTAGAGCATGGACATGACACAGCTGAAGAAGATGACAATGGGCAGAACCTATCAGGGGAGAGCACAGGTCCCGGGGTGAGAAGCAGGCAGCCAGCAGGGTACCCAGGGCCTAGGAGACCCCAGACAGCCCACTCAATCCAAGGCCTTGCCACGCGGACACCTGACCAGGTCGAGGAACAAGGTCCGAATTCAGTGCCTGAGGTCATGAATGGGGCCTCTTTGGAGGCACTTGGGTCCTCTCCGCTGCCAACCGGCCCAGCCATCTCTCCCTGTCCCCTCCTGCCCACAGAGGAGGCCTGCGCCGTGGCAGGGAAGCAGGACTCGAGTCCCGCACTTTTTACCCCCTCGTCTGTAAAGTGGGGATAATGCCGATTTCCCGAATAGCTGTGAGAAGCAAAGGAACCGGCTCGGGGCCCAGCACCTTGCACAGCGGCCCTCCTCCTGCGTGAGCTCAGTCCCAGGCCCCAGCCTCTGGGCTTACCCTCCCTCCCGAGCCTGGGGCCCGAACGAGAGGCCTCTCATCTCTCTAGTATTCCCTCCCCCTCAAGACCAACGAGCTCAGGACTAGAGTCACGGGGGACCTGCAGTCCTGTCACCACCCCTCCCTGTCACCTCTCTGCCTATTCCAGGCCTCATTGATTCTTCCTTCAAATCTGCCCTCACACCTCTTCCCTCCACGGGGGGCCTGGCGCCATCCCAGCGCATGTCCCCTCCAGTCTGACAGAGAACAGCCGCAAGTGCCAACCACTCGACGTCTGTCCGGGGACGGCCAGTCTCCTGATCACAGCTGACCAGACAGCAGTGCACGGAGAATGAGGCTCTCCGCGGGCCGTCAGGGAATGATTTCCAAGACAGCGTCTTTAACGGGAAAGGGGCAGGTGTCAACGGGGTGTGCACGGTGCTGGTCTCTGGGCCAGGAAGGGTGATTGGCGCGGTGTGGGCGCCAAGTAGCATTAAAAGGGTATGCAAGTGTGGGCAGTTGCCTTGGGGAGGGAACCAGGGGACAGGGGTCCAGGTGGGAGGCAGACTTATGTTCTACTACGTCCCCTTCTGTACTGTTAAGAATATGTTAGGGGCGCCTGGGTGGCTCAGTGGGTTAAAGCCTCTGCCTTCAGCTCAGGTCATGATCCCAGGGTCCTGGGATTGAGCCCCATGTTAGGCTCTCTGCTCAGCGGGGAGTCTTCTTCCCTTCCTCTCTCTCTGCCTGCCTCTCTGCCTACTTGGGATCTCTGTCTGTCAAATAAATAAATAAAATCTTAAAAAAAAAAGAATATGTTAGTTGTTGCAAACAGTTCTATTGCTTTTTTAAATTTTAATATTTTCTTGTTTTAAAGATCTCTTTATTTGACAGAGAGAGAGAGAGCATGTGCGCACACACGTGTATGCACAAGCGGGGGAGGGGAGCAGCAGAGGGACGGGGTGGGGGGGAAGCAGACTCCCCACCGAGCAGGGAGCCTGATGCGGGGCTCGACCCCAAAACCCTGGGATCAGGACCTGAGCCAAAGGCAGACACTTCACCAAATGAGCCACCCAGGCGACCCTCCAAACAATTTTAAAATAAGTTACACAGAATTGGTAATAGCAGGTGCATCCTTACGTTAAAACGTTAGGTGGGGAAACTAGATCTTAAAAGCATAGAAAGGCCAGAAGTCAGTACATGCCAACAGCAAGTAGCTGCTGTGTACTGGGACTAGGAAAATGCGGTTTCTATTTTCTGTATTTCTAATTTCTCATATGCTCCTGTCATTTTCTGTAAAAGGAGACACCTCTCAAGGGAGGGGAGCACGGGCAGAGGGGAGGTTTGGGGAGGCTCATCAGCTGCGTTCTGCATGTGCTTGTTTGAGACGCCTGTGCAAAGAGCAAGGGGAGTGCGGAGTGGACAGGTGGATAAGAGGGTCAGGAGCTCGGAGGAAAGGTCTGGGCCAGGCCTGGTTTGGACCTGTTTGCCCAAGAGTATAGGCTGAGGCCATGGGACAGATGTAATTCCCCGAGGAAATCGCCCTGAGGGAGGAGAGCACTGAGGAAGGACAGGGCACCGAGGTCAGCCTCACAGAAGGGGGAGAGGGAAGGAGGGGCACAGCAAGGGGGCAGAGAAGAAATAGGTTGGAGGACGGCCAGGCCAGGGCTGTGATGGACACTGAGGACAGCTTTTCAAGGAGGACAGTCGGTCAGCTCTGCCAGATGCGTCCGAGCATTCCAGAAAGGTGAGGAGTGACACGGACCCTTGACAGCTAGCAATCCAGGGGTCCCTGGTGGAGACAGCAAGAATAGGCCGCTCTTTCAAGAAGCTCAGCTGTGCAGAGGAAAGGCTGTGAGGAGAGAGGTGAGGGGCGAAGGAGAAGCTGTTTTGTTTTTAATAAGGGGAGTCTTGTGGAATCACACTCGGGCTCTGGTTCAAGATGAATGGGGATTGCAGAAGGGCCCCAGAGGAAGACAGAAGCTCTATCCCAGGCAGCTCCACTGGAGACGAGAATCAGGCCCCGGCTGAGGTGTCTCCCCTGCCCCAGACCACACGGACGCTGCGGGTTTTCTCTGGACCGGCCCCACGCCCCCGCCCCGTCACCAGCCTCCCTGCAGCGGGGATGTCATCCCACAAGGAACACTGGCTGTGCGTGGAGGAGCCCTTCTCCTGCCGGTGACTCGTGACTGCCCTGGCTGCCCGGAGCTGGCCACGCCCCCAGCACGAGGCTGCTGACGTCATCCACCCGCCCTCGCAGCCAGACACAGAGACAATCACGTAGTGTCTAGACCGCTCGTCCAATTTATCATGAGAGGGACTGCCCGGCGGCGGCGGCCTGGCAGGCCTGCAGGCAGGGCCCTCATCAGGGCGGAGAGAGCCCGGCCGGCTGGACCGGACTGCAGATTGGGGACTCTCTCCCGGGAGCAAGCGAGAGACATTTTCTACCCGTGCGATGGGGAGTTTGGGGTGAAAGGGAGGCTGTGTTTTGCATTACGTGGTGACTGTCTTGTGAGGGGAGATAAATGCAATGGGAGAGAGGTGACCTCCAAATTTCTCACGCAGGACATTTCGTAATCAGTAAGGTCCCTGAGGCCTACGGGATCTCTCAGTGTGGGGAACAACTCTGGGGCCTATGTCGTGTGTGAGGAGCCAGGAGAGGGGACAGGCAGCAGAAGCCTGTGTGGCCGTGGTCAGGGAGGGGAAGTACACGCGGCCCTCGTGTGTGTCCACACGCAGCCCTACCTAGGCCAGGGTGTGGTGACTCTTCTGTCCTCACACCAACTGCGGTAGATGTAAATCCACTTCCCCAGTGGGCACGCTGAGAGTGTGAGATGTGGGTTACCTGCCCAAGGTCACACACCTGCAAAAGACAGAGCCCTTCCTGGTCTCCAGCAGGTTGCGGAGGCCCTGCTGTGACCCTGAGGCGGTTTCCCTGGGGCCGGTCCTGGATCCGCATTTCTATGTCTCCATAGAAGCATTCATCTCCTCCAAGAGCAAGAGCGTCTTGTAAGTCCTGACCACAGCCAGCTGGTCTTTTCTAGTGCGGAGGCTCACCCATCACTGAAGGGAGGGGGACTTCTAGCTGGTCTAGGCCACTGGTTCTCAAAGTATGGTCCCCGGACCAGCAGTATCAACCGAGATATCCTAGAAATGCCAATGTTGAGTGCCACACCCAGAGTTTCAAATTCCGTAGGTCTAGGGTGGGCCTGAGGATCTGGACATGAGCATTGCCAGATGCTGCTGGTGCTGCTGGCCTGGGTGTCACAGTCTGAGAACCACTGCTCTTCCTGATGCTTGAACCTCCACACCCCCAGCTCCAAAGGCCTAAGCATGCAGATAGGGCCCTACCGCCAGATCCACAAAAAAACCACAAAAACCCCAAAACACAAAATCCAAAGTCGCCCAATAATACGTTAAAAGGATCATACACCATCAATATTTGGGATTTTTTCTAGGAAAGCAGGAGTGGTTCAACATCAGCAAGTCAATCAATGTGATACATCCCATTAACAGAACAAAGGATAAAAATACACCATCATCTCAACCGATGCAGAAAAAGCATCTGACAAAATCCAACATCCGTGCTTGATAAAAACTCTCAGCAAAGTGGATGTGGAAGGAATGTACCTCGACATGATAAATGCCACACACGATGTACCCATAGTCTACATCGTCCTTGGTGGTGAAAGGATGAGAGCTTTTGCTCTAAGATCAGGAACAAGACAAGGATGTCCACTCTCACCACTTCTATTTGACCTAGAACTCCTAGCCAGAGCAATCAGTCAAGAAAAAAGAAACAAAATGTATCCAACTGGAAAGGAAGAAGTAAAACTGTTGCTATTTGCAGATAACATGATACTATATATTTAAAAAGTCCCTAAAGACTCCACCAAACAATTAGTAGAACTACTAAATGAATCACTCAAGTTACAGGATATAAAATTAACACACACAAATCAGTTGTGCTCCTATACACTAATAACGAGCTATTAAAAAATTTATAAGACACTGGTCGACTGGTTGGGTCAGTCGGTTAAGTGTCTGCCTTCCGCTCAGGTCATGATCCCCGGGCCCTAGGATCAAGTCCAAGTCAGGCTCCCTGCTCCACAGGGAGTCTACTTCTCCCTCTGCCTCTGCCCCTCCCCCACCACTCATGCTCATTCACTCCTTTTCTCTCTCAAATAAATAAGAGATCTTTTAAAAAAAGACACTGGTGAAAGAAATTAAAGATGACACAAATAAACGTAAAGATATCCCACACACATGGATTGGAAGAATTAATATTGTCAAAATGCCCACGCTACCCCAAATTACCTACAAATCCTATGCAATCCATCAAAATACCAATGGCATTTTTCATGAACAGAACAAATAATATAAAAACTTGTCTAGAACCACAGAAGACCCTGAATAACCAAGGGAATCTTGAGAAAGAAGAAAAGAGCTGGAGGTAGCACATTCCCAGATCTCAAGCTACACTACAAGCCTATAGTCGTCACAACAGGACGGTCCCAGCACGAAAACAGACACGTGGATCAATGGAATAGAACAGAGAGCTCAGAAACAAACCCATGTTTATGTGGTCAGT